TTTGGAGTGAATATATCTGAAGTCGTCACAAAAACCTGACAATAACCTTTACAAAAAAATTACAATAAAAAAAATAGAAAAGATAAAAGAAAAAACTCTTCACATTTTTCAATCATGCTCATTCTTTTAAGCAGCAATAGCGATAGTTCCCTCATTGGCTTTAAGTGCAAGGGTAGCGTCCAACTTGGCATCTATGGTGGCGTCTTCATCTTCATCAACCTCTTTCTTTTCCTCTCCATCTCAGATTGGAAAAGAGATATGGTTGGAGAATTATCCTAGCTGATGTTAAAAAGGTTAAGGTTTAAACTAACAAACTTGAATAGCACCTCGTCCTTGCAAAGCGGAAAGGCACTAAAAACATTTTTCCTTTAGAATTCGACCAAAAGGTCAAAATACTCTCAAATGCCATGAACTCTTTAATAATTTCCTCCTTACACTCTTTCTTGACCTTTTCTTTAGCCTTCTTCTTACCCTTCAGCTCAGCCAAAAATTAAGACTTCAAGTTTGCAATTTCAGCTTGGGCTTCATTGAACTTAAGTTTGGCCTGTTCCTTCATTGAATTAGTTTAGGCCTTTTCCACTACACCTCTTCAAACTTAACAGTTAGGTCATCAACCTTATTCTTTCACTCTAATTCTTTCTTATGATAGATAGAAAGGCTAGATCATAAATTGGCGATCATGTCATTATTGTTTTAATTTTTCCTACCTTATGTCTTCAAATCCTGTTCAAGTTTTAGAACACAGGCCAAGGCCATATAAGCATGGTGTAAGGCTTCACTGGCATACCGATTGGGATGATGAGGAAGCTTGTCAAAAATTACAAAAGAAAATTAAGTTTAAACTTGAAAAAAAATGGAATTAATAAAAACGATATGAAAACTAAACTAAATGACAACTTACTAGTTGGAATGATCATGACTTATGTAAACTTCCTAGCCATGTCGATGCTCTTCAGAAGGTTTTCATTGAGATCGCACTCCAAGCTAGTGGAGAATTTATCCGAGCTAGGCTTTAAATTTTGGATCTTGGGGTTTGCTAGAAAGAGGGAGGCCTCATATCTCTATTTTTTTGGTTACCTTTGGCAATAGTAAGAATTTGAGCTGAGGATCTTGGCTTTTGAGTGATTAAGGGATCTATTATTTTGATCCTACCTTAGAAAAGAGCACTAAACTAGATGGGTTGCTTCTTTAGGCTTTTCTTTGGCTTCAGCTTATGAACTTACTTGCAAAAGTCAAAATCCTTAGACAATTGAAAAGACATCTCTACAAGATGAGCTAAGTGCTAGACAAAATTTATAAAACTAAATACCCTACGAGGTTACCTTAAACTTACCCCAGTATTTGATTTTGTTCACCACTTTTGGTAAGGTTAACTCGTATATGTTAATAACTAGCTCTCCCCTATCGGTGAAATCTAAAATCTTGTCTCGAGCTTCAAGTTGGTCATTGTTAATAGAACGAGTTCATCGTCAAAATTCCCAAGCTCATTCAAAATTTCCACACCTCGAGATTTTTATTTTCATCTTTATTCTTGTTTTCCTTCTCGATATAGAGGAAGAGCAGCTTTCAATTTTTTATTGAGCTTAAACAACTAGCAAAAAGTTTTTTAGCTAGATGAGCTGTGATTTAAAATCACATCTTATTGTATAGGTGTTTTTTAACAGAGAACAACTCTCTAAATAGAAATAAGGAATGAATAATACCTAAGTTTCTATAAATAATGATGAAAGTTACTATGTACCAAAAATAAATGGGGGTGAGTTGAGTGTTAGTTAAATTGTAAGAAAGGAACAAGCTAACAATAAAAAAAATGTAAAGGGAACTTCAGACAACCACTACAAAATCCTAATACACCTAGACATAGTGACTTTTTAAGGAAGAAATGACCCGATCCTTAGTGTTTGGCATCTATACATTTTACCTCTTCTTTGAAAGGCCAAAGTTGAACTTCAAAAGTAAATGTGATGAACATAACACATATTAGGATAATCCTTAAGGTTAGCCCTACCTTTTAACCTCTTCATCATGTCATTAGGGTTTAAACCTAAGAAACAAATAGTGTAAAAGGGGATTTGAGCCAAACCTTCTAAGTTTGAGTAGGACTTCTCCTTATCCTCACCTTCTTCGGCCTAGTTGTTCTCCATTTCCTATTCCTTTCAAAACCTTCTTTATTGTCGAAGCCTTCATTGTCAAAAGAATTAAACTCCTAAGTAAAGACAAGACTCCAAGGTGGAGTAATGGTAGAAAGCATCACTATATCGGAAAAAGAAAAGGGACAACAAGATTCCTTAAAAAGAAAGAAGTAATGAAGGACATCGATAGAAGCTGGCTTAGAAAGAGTAGAAAAAGAAAAGACAAAGAAAGCAATAAAGGAATAGAGGGCTAAAGAGTAGGTGATGAAAGAGGATAAGTAGTAGAAGGCTTAGAAGGCTAAACCTCGGAAGGAGGAATAGTGAAAGAAAGAAGGTCAGCCAAAGAAGCCAAACTAACTTGAAAGATAAAAAAATAAGGGCTCTCAAGCTTAAAGTCGATGGCATCGCATAGCTTATCTATGTTCTAGAATACTCGTTTTCCCTTAGTACGAGCATTGTCTTTTACTCTTTTTTTCTTTTTCTCAGACATTGAATTTAGCCAATATGATGTACAGCCATGGTTTTTCCTCATAATGATTAAGGGGATCCTGTCATCATCGTTTTTATCGTTGAGTCGACCTTCCTTAGGAACTACTTTGTAACTCTCTAAACCCCTAGAGCTCACACTAATAGACATTATAAAAAATAGGAAAAAAAAGAAAACATACCAAAGAATGAAAGAAAAAAGGTCGGTTATAAGAAGTTAAGAACTTTAAACTAGGTAAATTCAAGTAGGTTTGAGAGCAAAAGATCAGTAAATTGAAAAAATGAAGTTCCTAAAAGGCCCTTTATATAGTCAATGTTTAGTTCATATAAACAGCCCAGATTGCGTCATGTGTCAAACGATCGTTAAGCATGACCTTTCACCTTTCCAACTATGGATATTTATCGTCAAATACCATTTTCCTTATTAAATATGATTTTAAAATAATTTGAGAGGTAAATCGACCATTTCACTTATTAAGATCGGTCACACCAATCACAAAATCCAAATCGGACCGACTAAAGGAACTAGTCACTAGGTTAATCTTATACTGCATCTACTAATCAAACTCCAACCCGAAGAAAAGCACAAGTCTTATGTTAGGCATATAAGCCATGTTGATAATAATTCACGAGCTTGTTTGGCTTGATAGGCCACTTGAACACAAGACTACAGACCTAGGTATCCTAGTATAGACCAACTAAGCATACAACCTGAAGCTCATGCTTGAAACTAAGATCGACAATCATGAGCACAGAATAGGTCAGCACAACCCAAAATGGCTAAGATTACACTTAACCTATGATCGATCATAAATATCTTTCACCCAATCCTCACATTAGCCCATGAACATTCAACCTCTACAACATGAAGTCGGGCCTACGATACAAACTTCCAAAACCCACACTCAAGAAACTCGACCTTAGATTGCAAACATGTATGCCAAAAAGGCTTAATTATATGTCTATCAGTCTGGCACTTAGACTATTCAAAAAGGGGATAGAATGTTAAGCGTACTTTTGGGTCCAAAGGATAAATTGGTTTTTTTTTTTTCATTAGAGACTACCAGCAAACAGTCAAAGGCATTTTTGACCTTTGAGTTGACTTGACATGTATAGTGCAATGTTAGCTCAACTATGTCACTATTTTACCCTATAAACTTCTCACTTTTTACCTATAAATAGAGACATCTAGATACTATCTTTCCATTCCATTCTATTTTTACATCCTTATTTTCATATCTTTTCGACTTCTTTTAAACTGACTTCTGATTTAAGCATCGAAGAGCAAATGTAAGGAACATTCTCTTTCTTGCTCTAACTGCTATCTTTCTCTTCTTGTGGTTTCAGAGTTTTAACCCTTAATTTGGAGCTCGGCATCAACATTTTCTATCAAGCAAAGTGTAAGGTAATTAGAAAAAGTTAAAGCAAAAGCTTACAAAAATTGTCTTTTCTTGCAAGATTGCCACCAAATGGCTGGAGCCCTTGCCGTCAATCTACCCATCTCCTTTCAGGATGAGATTGTCAAGCCCTGAAAGCTGAATCCAAGTATCCAATCGACAGCCCAGCAAGTGCTTTCGGGTGCAATGAAAGTCCCTCGGAGCTGAAGCAAACAAAACAAATAAAATATTCTATGATCAACTGGACAAATGAGTTAATGATATTAGGGTTCATGAAAAGATTTAACCTGAAAATGAATGCTATTGGCCTTGCGTGGACCCTGAGAAGCATCTGGTATCAACAAGATTAATGTCTTCCCTGGTGACACCACTACAAACATTCGTTACAAGCTTTGTTGAATGCCTTAATTTCCAATTTATCCGCAGTCAACATTTCTTTTAATAGGAAAACAATGACATAAACATATAAAAGAAAAGCAGCAACTTTACTTGAGAATCATCAGCTGTTTGGCCATTTCCAGTTGTGCCATAATCCATAAGGTTAAAAGATGTTGTTCCTTCACCGAGGATTTCATTCCCAAAACCACTATATTCAATAGTATTTTCAAGAGAATAATCTGTCGTCGTCGACCAAGAGATCAGCCTGCTACATGAACAGGATGAAGCAAATCAAAACAAACATAACAATAGCAACAACACCTTGCGTAGTTTGACTAAATATATGATTATCTAAGTTACTTTAAAAAAAATTATTCGATTGGATTTTTTTTTAAAATCCAAAAGAAATTGAAGAAATCAAAATTTTTTAAACATTTAATTTTAATGATCGAAATTCATAAATAACTTTAATTATAAAAAAATATAAATTTTAATATAATGAGAGAATTATCATTACACATTCTAATTAAGCTTAAAATCTAATGAATTTATTAATTAATAATTTCTAAAAATCTATTTAAATCAGCCTAAAAGATAATGACTTGTTTAATTAATAATTTCTAATCATCTACTTCTGTAAAGCCTTAATTGTTTCAATAATTAAGTAGGTGTTTTAATAATTATGATTAAGTGAAGATTTCATGAAACTATTATGAAACCGAATCCACTGAAGAAAATCTCATCCGAATAAGAAAAGGTCTCTCCCTACTTAAAACTTGCAAGAGCATAACGCCATAGAAATTTTCGGAGACTCCGGACCTGATCTCCAAACAAACCCTTCCGAGCCTCAAAGACACCAAAACTCAGATTCGGCTCAAAAGCTGAGACTCCGAGCACCAGAATCTTCGTACGGACCTTACTCAAACTCTCCCCATTTTTCCTTATGTTAAAAAAAAAAACTGAGTTTCGGAGCTTCATAAATTTCAATTCTCCTAATCAAACAAAACCCTAATTTAGTAATTTTCCTTTCTATTTGAAGCTGCAAGTTTCTGAATTTGAAAGATTTTAGCTCTTTTCTACTTTATTAATCTCATCAATTATAAGATCCTTTAAAGAAATCTATGAATTTTGATTCAATTTTTCGGAATTGTTTATTCTTGAATGCAGAAACCAACGGTTGATCAATAAAATCGCTTCTTCACGAGCTCAATAATGCTAATGTAGGCTTTGATTCATCTGAATTGTTCCCTTTAAGGTTAGTTTCGATCAATGTAGTTTCAGTTTTTACAATTATAAATTTTTTTCTACTGAATTTATAATATTTTATTTTACTTCATATCAATTTATGTTTTTTGAACAGTTAATTAATTTGGTTTTGAGCTGAAACTATGGCGCAGAGTAATTGGGAAGCAGATAAGATGTATTTATATGTTATTTGAGAAAAGGAATTTCAGTTTTATTTTATTTGAGTCCATGATTTTATTTTATTTGTTTTATTTTTTTTTTAATGGTTGGTAGGCTTGATGTTTATATATATGATTATTTAGTAAAGAAAAAATTGCATGCCACTGCAAAGTCCTTCATGACAGAAGGGAAAGTCGCCCCGGATCCAGTAGGTAAGATTTGACTTTCCCTGAAATGTTTAAATTCTGTTAGTTAATTGTCGAAATTGTGACTGACTGTTTTTTTATGTGGAAAAGGAGAATATGGAGGTTTTATAGGAATCTGTTTTAGCCTATGTTACACGGACTCTTCACTTTACCTTAAAGTCTTGGCCACTGTTAAATTTACATGGGTATGACACTTAGATTCTTAACATTAATGTAAAAATTGCCAAAAAGTGGCATTCCTTTGTCAGGTACCCAATCTCAAGTCCATGTACCATAGCTTTTAACTGGATGGTATAGACGTGTTCTCATTTATTTTTTAAATTAATGATGGTATGATGGGGATTTTTGCCTTAAAACTATAGGTTAATCTTGATTCTAGTTGCTTGGTTAGGTTGTAGTCACTGTAGCATATTGTTGGTTGAAGCGTTTTAGTTTGCATAAGTGATTCATGTAGAACTTGATTATTCATCCAGCAATTGATGCTCCTGGTGGGTTTCTTTTCGAGTGGTGGTCTGTCTTTTGGGACATATTTATATCGAGAACAAATGACAAGCATTCAGAGGCTGCTGCAGCATACATAGAGGTGTCTTGTTAAAACTTTACCAAGTATTGTTGTAAATTCTTTTGAATAGTGCAGTTTATACTGACTGTTTTCAAACCGTTATGGTAGTACGTACAGGTGCAACAAATCAAAGCAAAGGAGCAACAACAGCTGCACATGCAGCAGTTGCAGCTTTTGCATCAAGCTCAGATGCAGCGTAGGGATCCTAATCATCCTTCTTTGGGTGGTCCTGTAAATGCTATTGGCTCCGAAGGAATGCTTGGGCAGCCAAATGCAAGTGCATTGGCAGCAAAAATGTATGAAGAGCGCATGAAACACCCCAATGCAGTGAATTCAGAGACGTCCCAACCACTTCTTGATGCTAGAATGGCCCTCTTAAAGTCAGCTACAAATCATCATGGGTAAATATACTTGTAATCTTAGATGAGGTGTTTTGTTTTACTGTAATGAACCTTTTTCTGCTTAATGACACACAAAAACTCTCTGTTCTGATGCAGTCAGTTGGTTCAAGGAAACCATGGAAGTGTAACTGCAGCATTGCAGCAAATTCAGGCATGGACTCTAGAAATTGCTATTGCTGTGCTTCTTGGATAAAGATATTCCTGCATTTGCTTCAACACTGTACAACCTCGCTATTATACTCTTGCAGCGTGGTTGAACTAATGACTTTTATATATACATTTTTCTTATTGCAGGATATTAAAGGTGAAGTGAACTTGGTTGGTGCACAGAGATCCATGCCTTTGGATCCTTCCTCAATTTCTGGACAAGGAATCATGCAATCGAAACCTGGAATAGGAAATACAGGTAATCATAACTAATGATGTTATATTCTGTTTGCACCATTCACCCTACTGGATACTAATGAGTTTCATTTCCGTGGCCCAAACTTCTGATTAAGTGTCTTTTGTTGTGGATTTATTAGTTTAGTATACCATTATGTCATTGCCATTTAGCCCCGAGAGAAACATGTATTGTTTGTTTCATGTACAGACCATCTTATCCTTCTTCCTATATTCAAGTAATATGCTTCTCTAAACATGTATAATACAATCCCTAAAATTCCAATAGAAAAGCCTGTAGGCAAGGTGTTTGTTTATTGGCTATTACTAATATGCTTAGTGCTGCTGTAACTTAAGATGATCGGGTGGTTCTCTAGTTTGGCTCTGCCAAGTGCTAAATCTACCTACTCTAGAAAACACTGCATGAAGCTGTTTCTATTTTTGTCAAGTTTATTTCTCTTCTGAGGTGAAGGCAACATATCTAATAACTTTGGCTCTGTGGTTTCTTAAGTCAAGGCATTTTTCTAAACATTCTTATACTTCCATGTTACTTTTCTTCTTCAAGGTTTGAACGCTGGAGTCGGTAGCCTTCCGTTGAAGGGTTGGCCATTAACTGTAAGCTCTAAACTGGATTTCTGTCCTCAATATTTATTTTCCTTGTCTGAGTGGTTGTCTTTAATTGCCTCTTAACTAATTTTACAGGGCATTGATCAAATGCGGCCAAGTTTAGGTACACAAGTGCAAAAGCCACCCCTACAGAACGCAAACCAGTTTCAGCTTCTGCCACAGCAGCAACAACAGCAGCTCTTAGCACAAGGCCAGGCACAAGGAAATCTGAGTAGCTCACCTATGTACGGAGATATGGAACCCCAAAGATTTTCAGGATTATCTCGAGGCACCTTAAATACAAAAGAGGGCCAGCCAATGGCTAATGATGGATCTATAGGGTCTCCAATGCAATCAACCTCATCAAAAGTAAGATATCCCTTCCAGAACCAGTTATAACTGTTGTATTGCTTCCTATATTCAAATGCCACCTAATAGTTTTCATACTCAAAATCAACAAGTGCAAAAGGTGCAGCAGAGAGAAGTTATAGCATCCTGCAATCTTGTTATGGATGAGATATGCATGCATGTCTGTCAATTTCATGTTGAAGAGAAAAACAAAAGTCTCTGTATATACTTGTGATGGTGTGTTGTGATACCATCTGCCATTCGTTTATATAACCAAGATAATATGTACGCCATTACTCTTCTACATGTGACTTCGGTTTTGGGTGCATATTTTATTCTCTTTATCCGTACCTTTATGGCCGACTTTATTTTGTGTATGGGCATATCATGATGGTTGCACTAGTTCAGTAGTTCTTAACAAGTCCTAACTGTTATAAATTTTGTTAAGAATGGTCAATGCTCTTTGTGCTTTGTTTCATCTGAGCCTTTTTGTGATTTTTCAGCAGATGAGCATGCCACCAATAAGACAATCTTCCTCTCAACAAGACCCATTGCAGTCACCGCAAGTGCAACAGGTTGGGCTTGCTTCTGTTTTGTTTCTTGATTATCACAATGTTTCTTGTTACTGTAGGCTGCCAGCTGATCTTTGTATTGTTTGCATTAATTTATGATGGGAACATTTCCTGATGCTTTATCTTTTGTTTTTTCCTAATTGTCCTACAAATTGACGACTATTACATATATGGTGTGTTAGAATAACCGGAAAAGAAAAGGGCCACCATCTTCTGGACCTGCTAATAGCACTGGTACTGGAAATGCAGTGGGCCCTTCCCCTAACTCTCAGCCATCAACCCCATCAACTCATACACCTGGTGATGGAGTGGCTATGGTGGGCAATATGCAGTATGGTAGTAACATGTCAAAAAATTTGATGATGTATGGGTCTGATGGAACAGTTGGTATTGCATCATCAACTAATCAACTGGTAGGTAATCCTAACTTTTAGCCAACCTCAGGATGTTTAGTAAACGTTTTGAACCTGCAATACTAAGAAACCCAAAGCATTCCTACATTCATGCTGCTTGCATAAAACTTTTGGATGCTAAGTTGGTATGAGCCGTCCGTGTTGTCATAAACATGTTGGCAAATTGTCATTTGGTCTTTGAAAAGCCAGTGAATTTCTAAATTTGGTAGTCCCCATCTTTATGACCACGACTATGTGCATTCTTGTCAGTCTACCAGGCATGACCATTTTTTTCTAGTTTCTTGTTGTTGTTAGAGTTAATTAACCTCCATATAAATTGCTTTTTTCTGCTTGTTCCAAAATGACAAATAATTGATAAAAAAGCTCATATTCAACATTCTATGTTTTGGATAATATGAGCTTAAACATTATTCTTTGTCCAACGTCCTAAACTTAGATCCAGAGACCCTTCTCATCTTACTTCATGCATTAGGACTAACAATTATTGCTGGTAATGTCTGTCACTATTAATATTTTGTGAATATCCTTGCTTACTGTCTTAGAGTGATGTGCTGTAAATGTTTAAGCATTGCTTCCCTATCTTGGCTGAAATACTGATGCCATAGCTGTGACAATGATGGAGACACATTATCCCTTTGCACCAACATTATGTGTTCTATGGAAATTGTTAAGATTCTTGTATAACTTTTTTTTAATTTGTTGAACTTGTTTGATAAGGATGAATCTAGTTATTGTAATACAGCATTTTACGTTATTCATGCCAGTGTTCATTCAGGAACTGTTCATGCTATAGTATTGAAAATATCTGGGTATTTTTACCTTTTTGAGTTGAACTCCGGTACAGATGGCAATGTTTTATTTCCTAGGTCAATAATTTGATGTCTTAAGGGCTTTGAGGCTACCAAAAGATCCTAGTACTCTTTTTGAAGAATATGGCAAGATTGAGCATTTCTAGATGAAATTTTGTTGTCGGCAAGTTTTCATTAGGGTTTTATTTCTTAATCTCTAGTTGCTTTTTACTTCTTTCTCTTTCTTACAACTTAGAGTCGAATTTAATTCAATATTCAGATCAAGCAAATAAACCTTAAATAGCCGAGTTTCTGCACTATTATTCTTCCATATATACTTAATTTGCCTTGCCTTTTCTCATGCTGTGCTGCATGTAATTTCCATGGTCAAGTCATTTCAAAAGCCTGTTTATGACATTGCTCCTAATTGCAGGATGACATGGAACATTTTGGGGATGTTGGTTCCTTGGAAGACAATGTGGAATCTTTTCTCTCACACGATGATGGAGATGGAGGGAATTTGTTTGGCACCCTAAAACAAAACCCATCTGAACATGCTACTGAGACTTCAAAGGGTAATATATGATATCATGCTCTCAGCACTCTTATTCTTCAAGTTGACCCCAACAATGAATCTTTTTCTGCATTTCAGGTTTTGGCTTCAATGAAGTTGGGTCAATACGTAAAAGCAATGGCAAAGTCACCTGCTGTCATTTCTCTACAGATGGAAAGCTATTGGCCAGTGCTGGGCATGACAAGAAGGTATAATGCATTGTAGCATACAAGGAATGAATTTTCTATATGTAGCAAGCCACATACGTTCAAATTATTAATTATTGTTGTTATTTGACTGTTTTGTTTTCATAAATGATGTGGCTGTGTGGTGCCATATTTCTTGTCCTTGGGTCCTCAGCAAAACGGTTGCAAGAACATTTATGATCAATCAAAAAAATGGACTTAAATGGAAGTATGGAATAATGATGTGCATGCTTGTCTATTTCCTGTCAGTAGGCTGTTCTTTGGAACATGGATACTCTGCAAACTGAGTGCACGCCAGAGGAACACACTCATATTATAACTGATATTCGCTTCAGACCAAATTCCACTCAGCTGGCAACATCTTCTTTTGATACAACAGTGCGAGTTTGGGATGCTGCACAAGTATAACTTCTAGCTCCTTTCTTGTTTGTGTTTAATGTCTGTAATTCTCTCTTATTGGCCACTTTTGCCTGTTTCTTTTGTGTCATTCTACCTTCAGGTTTATATATAGAGTGCTACACTTTCCGCCTGTTGTCTATGCTAAATTAATCATCATGCCATTAAACCTGACATTGTTTGGTGGAAGACAAGAAGCAAAGTTGTTACCATTATAGAAGACTTGGGAGTTCTACTTTGTTCGCATGTTGATGAATAGAATGGTTTACATATCAGGAGCACTTATTTTTTTTACCATTTTTGCAGCCAAGTTATTGCATCTGGAAATATACAGGGCATACGGCAAAAGTTATGTCCCTTGATTTCCACCCTAAGAAGAATGAACTTTTCTGCTCTTGTGATGGTAACAGTGAGATTCACTTCTGCAACATCAGTCAGTTTTCTTGCATTCATATCTCCAAGGCTGGCCTTCTAAATCCCTAAGCTTTTATCTTTTTTTAAGTTCTGCCGCTTCTTTGGCTTATGAAGTTTTTAATCTAAATTACTTTCACTAATCAAAGCAGGGAGGCAGCACTAATGTGAGATTTCAACCAAGAGTAGGACAATTACTAGCTGCAGCAGCAGATAATGTTGTTTCTATCTTTGATGTAGAGACTGACAGAAGAACACACTTATTGCAGGTAGAAATATTGTTGAGTTTATAAATCTTGGAAAGGAAGAGTATATTACCTTGCTTATAGGTTTTGGGTATCAATTTTGACACAGTTGTAATTTTTTCTCTCAGGGGCACAATACAGAGGTACACTCTGTTTGTTGGGACAAAAATGGAGACATTTTAGCATCGGTCAGTCAAGAGTCTGTCAGAGTGTGGTCACTGGCCTCTGGAGAGTGCATTCACGAGCTCAATTCCAGTGGAAACAAGTTTCATTCTTGTGTTTTTCATCCTAGCTTCCCTACTCTCTTGGTTGTTGGTGGCTATCAGGTGCCATTTCTTATTCTTATGATGATGATGATGAGATATCAAGAACTAATTGATATCATTGCCATTTGTTTTACCCACTCTTCGACTTGTTGCCGATGATGGCTGTATTTCCATATTTCATGGATACGATATTAAATCCTTTCACCTCAATTGTTCTATGACATATCACATTATCGCTAATTTCTTTTTCTTTTCCATGTCCCTTTTACACTTGTGGTTTGCAGTCAATGGAGCTTTGGAACACGGCTGAGAATAAGTGTTTGACGATTGCAGCTCATGAGTGCGTGATATCAGCCCTGGCAGAGTCACATGTGACAGGGTTGGTTGCCTCTGCCAGTTACGACAAATCTGTTAAAATCTGGAAATAATCCTACCGGCTTTTACGTGGATCCAACCGATCTGCTGCTTTCTTTAATTCTCAACAGCAGCAGAAGTTCATGTGGGGGGAAATGAAATGCAATATCCCCTGCATATTTTTCATTTGATTTCCGATGGTCATCATGGAGGCTTTCTGCCATGTTGGTTTGTCGGAGAGTCAAATTGGTTTCAAGTAAGTTATTATTATTTTTTTCTGGGTTGTGGTTTGGCGGTTATTCTGATATAAAAGAGATTTGATTCAGGTTTTGGACATTTTGTATATACATTTCTTCAGGCAGGAGAGTTGACTTACCATCAAGAAAATAAATGATCAAAAAGTGTGAGTTAATTTGACAAATAAAATAAAGGACAATATTCTGTTAGAAGAGATAAGATGGTGGTTTCCAATTGTGTGGCCCTTTTTTTTTTTTTTTTTTAATTAAAGCATTAACAAATTGTGAATTTTAGTTACATCCCTTGCATTCTGTTATTTTTCCTTCTTAGTTTTGGCAATTTGTACACTTCCCTTATGTTATTAGAAAAATGAAAATTCAAACTATTTATTAATAAATTTATTATTAATTAAATTGTGAATTATATGTAAAAGAAAAATTTTTGATAATGGGATTCCAATTTAAATTTTAAAAGTGAAATATTTAATTTTTATCAATTTAACAAAACAAACCTATGTTGGCTTTCAATAATTGAAAATTTTCTATATATCTAATACATATATTATATAAAAATATACACAAATAAGTTTGTTATGGATGTCTATGTAGATAATTATCTTAAATGATATAGGATATTTTCTTTAAAAAATAAGATAGTTTTTTTTTAATTGTAAATTTGATAATTTTAAATTTATTTAAATATATAAATTATTTAAATTATAATTTAAAATAAAATCAATTTAAAGATATATTTTTTAAAATTAAAAATATGAAATATGGATTTTATTTTATAATAAATAATTTTAGTTGTTTACCAAATAATTTTATTTAAAAAATTATTTAATTATCAAAATCTTTCAAACGTATTTAAAAATTATAAAGATTAAATTTATCCAAATCTTTCAATAATTTTTTTTATCTTGATTTAAAAAATTATTTTTTAAAAAAAATTTAAGTAAGGCATTAAAAATTCAAATAATTTTATGTAAGATTTTAAAAATTCTAAAAATTTTCATCGTAAATTTTTAAATAATAAAATCATCAAAACAATTATATCCATTTAAATTCTAATTATCAAATTTATATTTTAAATAAATGTAAAAAATTTAATACTATCTTTATCACTTATTATATCTATTTTAAATTTTAAAAAATTAATTTAAAAATTATCTAATTTAATCCTAATTACCACTAAAAATTCTTCTAAAAATTTAAGACCCTAAATGTAATATATTATATATCAATTTTTTTATTTTTTCAGTAACTTTTTGTTAAAGTATATTCTATTACTATTGCAATTTGTTTTTTTTTTATTTATAACTTTTTTCAAGATTATTTTATTATTATTACAGTTTCATTTTTATGAAAAATAATATTTTTTTCATTTTATTTTTTCTTTTTTCACATATTTTCTAACATTTTTCATATTTTACATAATAATTTAATCAAATTACTAAAGTGAAAATATGTTAATACTTTTTTTATTATTTAATTTATCATTCAATAATATATATTTTTAAAAAGGTATAATATATATTTTTTAATAAAACCTTACAGAGATATAAATATTATTGTAAACAAAAATATCCAAAGGAAATTTTTTTTTTTTTTTGCTATTTTAGAAAGTTTATTTTTTAAGGATAAGTCAATATGTATAAAATTTATATATACTATGAGTTTTAAAAATTTGAATATAATTTGAAAAGAAACTAATATGTAATGTATTATATATCAATTTTTTTATTTTTTTAGTAATTTTTTTTCAAGGTATATTCTATTACTATTGCAATTTTTTATTTATAACTTTTTTCAAGATTATTTTATTATTATTACTGTTTCATTCTTATGAAAAATAATATTTTTTTCAATTATTTTTTTTCACATATTTTCACATATTTTTCATATTTTGCATAATAATTTATTCAAGATTACTAAAGTGAAAGTATGTTAATGCTTCTTTTATTATTTAATTTATCATTCAATAATATGTATTTTTATTTTTTTTAAAAAGAATAATTTATTTTTATTTGATATAATTTTATAGGTGTATAAATATTATTGTAAACAAAAATATCTATAGAAAAGATTTTTTTCTGTTATTTTAAAAAAAATTATTTTTTTAATGATAAGTCAATATATATAAATTTTATATATGTTATAAGTTTTAAAAATTTGAATATAATTTGAAAAGAAACTAATTTATATATATATTCACATTAAATAAGTAAAATTATTTTGTGCATCGTATGAATTATAATCTAATTTTGTTATATACTAGTGATGAAATGGTTAAACTTTATAAGTGAAATAATTAAAACATATGTCTATTTTAAGTTAAGACAAAAAGAAAAAAGGCTATTTGTTATGTTAAAATCATGACAAGTGTGGTTAATTTTATTAATTTACCAAACCCAGCTGGCATATTGAGATTTTTTAATACGTAAATAAATAAATAAATAAATAATAAAATATAAAAGCATTTAAAAGAAAAAATTAGATGTTATAGTTTTAGATAACATAAAAATGATGTAAAAATATAAAAATGACATAATTTAACATTGATAAAAATCACATATAAACTAAAAAAAAATGTTTAATATTTAAAGTGTATATACAAAGATAAAATAATTATTTATTTTATACATTTTTATCAAAAATCAAGAACCGAATAAAAAAATAACAAAAAATCTATGGATGGAGAGTGTGGAAGCGGGAAGATGCCAGTCTGCCAAATTCAAAAGTTGAATAGCCCAAATAGGGGCCCAGTAGGGCAGCTCATAAGGCAAGGGTGCCTCTTCCTGTCTTCCACCAAGTTCTGGCCTCTCCTCCTCTTCTTAACCATTATTTTCCCTTTCCCCTCCTACAATCCTCTTTACCCATTTTTTCCCACTTTTTATCTCTGTTTTAGAAAATGGAAAAAGAGGAGATCGATGAGAAAACTCACCTTAATGTCGATGAAACCCTAATAGAAACAGAGAAAGACGAAGGAACTGTTAACGTTCCGCCTGAGGAATTTCCCGACGAGTTCCAATGTTGTGTTTGCCTGTCGGTTCTTGTCCCTTTCTCATCGTTTTCAGTTTCTAATTACGCCTTATTTTCTTCATTATATTTTTCTCTTTATCATATATATTAACCTATTTATTTGCATAATTGTTTCGAATTTGTCGTTAAAAGTTTTAAATATTATGAATACATGAGGATATGTAAAATTGTTTGAGAAATAATCTTTTTCGAATGATTAATTTATTTGGGATTTTTAATATTTTTTTTAGTTTAATTGTAAATTTTTAGAATTTCAGGAATCTATAACTGCAAAATTTAGTGTTATATATCTGCTTTTTCGAATTGATGTGAGGAATTTAGGATTTAGTAATCAGGCAATTCTGTATCTTTGATATTATTCAATTATTGAGTTTGAGACTGACTTTATCGTTTTGGTGATTAAAAATTTTATATTAATATTAAGTTGCTTTGTCTGTTTTTTGTTTCTGAATAATAAGTTGGCTAGGAATAAGACATTGGTAGATAAATTTTGGAATAACTGGTTTAGGTAAAGCTCGATGGCCTCTTGGAGGAAATTTGGTGGGTGTTTTTGTTCTTTGAAAATTGAAAAGGGGTTCATGTTTATGGAGATTTACAGCAATATAATGATGAACTTACTGAAATTCAACTCTTGAAACTCCGCATCTTACTGCCTTCTAAGGTATTGTAAAAATGTGGATATCATTAGTTTCTGTCAGAACTTGTTTACTTTATTGCTTTGTTCTTTTATTTCTTGTCATAGCAACATATAAACCATTCTTTTCGTTATGCTTTCAAGTGTTTTTTTTTAAGTTAAATTTTTCGGGGAATTTATAAGTGAAAAAGAATCATATATATATCAATGAATAGAAGTTAATAGTTGAGCCACCGATCCTACAACTTCTTATAATTTGTGTGTACTTTTTAGTTGTTGGTTTATTGAAACTATTTTTGCTTGGATACCTGTTTGAAGGTGATTTCCTTTCATGTTTCAGGGAACTTGTTTACAAGCCTGTTGTATTAGGTAAGAAGGCAATATGATAAACTAAATTTTGATGTGTAATTTTACCTGTAATCTGCTCTTACTTTTCATATTTGCAGCCTGTGGTCACATGTTATGCTTCTGGTGTGTCTACCATGCAATGGATCATTTTCATGAGTCCAACTGCCCCATTTGTCGGTGCCCATACAATCATTTCCCAAGCGTCTGTCAATTGCTGCATTTTTTGCTCTTGAAGTTGTATCCTATAGCCTATAAGAGAAGGGAAATGCAAGTGCAAGGTGCCTTTGTTTCTTCTTTCTCCTCTTCATTAAGTGCTCAAAAATCTGCTAACAAATTATAAGTTTTGGCTGTAGAAAACTGCTTTTATCATTTTTAGTCAATGCACCGAATCTTCTGAAAGCATCAGTGAAATTTTTAAATTTCCAGATGGGACAAAAGTAGTTATTATGATGTGGAATTAATCTCTTTTACCTAGTAGCATAACACGGATAAAGTTCAACTTTGCTCCAAAATGCTGAAGATACTTATGCTTTGCAATATGTGAATTGCCAACTATTTGCATATTACTAATTTGCTCCTGTAAAATCAGAAATATTAAATAAAATGCGAGGAAATCCTTAAGATGCACCAAAGATAAAACTTTTAACCAAGTCTTATTGAGTTCCCTTGAAAAGCTTGTGGGGAAAGAAATTCACATATTAGAATGAATTTGCTGCCAGTAAGTTAAGCTCACTGACTAAAATATTCTTTCTATTATCAGACAGGGAAACTTTTCTTTATAGATGTTGCGGCCAGTTTCATTATTTACTTTGGTGCTCTAATTAATTTTCTGTGAGTTGTACATGAGAAGTAATTGCTTCCACTATTGATAAAAGCCATTATACTATTAATTTTGATTCTTAGATATTGTCAATTTGACATCCCCCCTCCCCACCGAATGGGAAAATGATGATGCTTTGTTTGTTTTGATTTTTTGATGTCTTATATACCAATTTTTTTTATTTTCTTGTTTCCTTGTTCAGAAGAAGAGATGAGAGCTGGCCGGTTCTCAGTTGAATTTGATCAAAATTTAGTTGAACTTAAGCTTTGTGAGAATTCAGATATTTTGGGGAATGACCATACCCTTGCTCATCCCCAAATTGACTTGCATTCAGAAAGTTGTTCTAAGGATTGGGAATCATCCTCATTTGGCAATTCACCAAAAACACTCATGATGGATGAAAATGGCATGCCAATTAAAACATCTTCAAAAAACCCCGAAGTTGCTGCAAATGTACCCAACCAAGGAAATAGTTGGCTTAGAAATGAGTTTGAACATAAAGATCAAAAGGTGGTTTCTATTGCCGATTTACTCTGTGCTGCATGCAGTAGGCTGCTCTTTCGACCAGTTGTTCTCAATTGTGGCCATGGTAGTTGATATTTCTTTTATATGTTTTCTCAAAAGTGAAATGATTGGATGATATTATTGTTGACCACTTAGTTTATTTTCTTCTTTGGTGCAGTATATTGTGAATCTTGTTTTGTTATTCCAAAGGATGAAATCCTTAGGTGTCAGGTATGTAAAAGCTTGCAACCAAATGGATTTCCAAGTGTTTGTTTAATTCTAGACCAGTTCTTGGAGGAGCAGTTTCCTGAGAGCTATTCAGAAAGAAAAGGGGCTTTACTCAAAGAACACAATTGTTAGTATCCTACTCAGAATTATTTATGATGTTTATATCATTTATTTTGACCATCAATTACCTTGGGTGCTTTAATCATTCTAACTATTTTTTCATGTCTTACAAAAGATTGAATTTGAACCCTGTTTTTCTTTTTTTCTTGGTTTCTTTGGGAACCTTATGAAGATCTATTTACTTACTGGGGTTAAGGATTCAATGTGAAATTTAGCTCGGAGGCTTCTTTTTCTCCTCAAATAAGAGGTCTGACAAAGCGGATAATTAATTATAAACATATTAAAAGACATTTAAAACACAAATTTTCTCCATCGTATTACTTGTCCTTGTCAAACCGAATTTACTACTTTGTGCAGTCATAATATTCATCAAGTTGACTGTGTTCAACTTTTTTTCTTCTCATGAAAGCATGCTAATGAAAGTTCCCAAAAAATGTTTTACATGATTCCTTTGAAAATTTGTTTTCTTGTGCTCAATTTTACATTTTTAATGGGTTACTTTTAAGAGTCACCGACAGGCAAACATTTTCACATGCATATCTATAATGAGAGCATCATCAATTTTTTGGTTCACCATGGTGCATTTCCCCAAAACTGCAAATGATTACATTATCCCATGCAAATGTAACAAGGATACAGGAGTGAAAAGCAAAATAGTTAATTAACACCTGCAGATGCTTGGACCTTTCTTTTCTCTCATTCTCTCTCCTCATATGCACATGCGTCTGCACACACAAAAAAGCTTTTATGCTTTAATTTTTTCTTGAAGAAAGAAAATCCTGAGATTTGTCTTCTTTTTCATGCATTCTTAGCCTCACATCTAGGCGTATATGAATGTATTTTTTCTGTCAATGATGCTCCCGAAGGCTTGAACTTCATAGATTTTTTTTTTTAATGTTTTATTTTTGTGCTTAAAGTTTAACTCAATTCTGCCATAAACTTGAGCTCACGTTGAATGCAAGCTCAACGACATGCAAACCGGTCAACATCAATTTCTGCTGATGTCTTCTCATCATGGCTTTTTGGCAATGGGCCAAAAGTTCATATTGGAGTGGGCTGTGATTTTTGTGGGGTAAGTGGTAGTTGAAATTTGATAATTCACACCAAACTAGCTTGATAGCTTTGCTGAAGAAGAGACATTATTTAAATAATATTCCTTTTATTGATCTCATTATTGGTATGACTAAAGCAACTCTTTTACTAGAATGGTATTTCATCTTACAATTGGAAAATCCGAAACATCCATTCGATGCTGATTTTTGAAAAAAAAAACAAAATCCCTCCACCCCCTTCAACCCTCTAGTATCACTTAGAGGTTGGTTATAGCCAATAGTTTTATTAGCATGGTATTATGTGTTTACCAAAAGAAAGGTGATCCACTAGTTCATTATTAACTGATTTTCATTTGACTAAGAATGTCAATTCATTGTGTTGATGATCTGGGAAGTTTTATGTCTTTTTTGACATGAATTTGGACTAGGATTGCAAGATGCCTTAGAGTGATTGATAACTATATTTGAAAATCAAGGAAAATTATCTAGTTTTTAAAATATTTACTATTAAAAATGATAAATTTAAGGAGTTGAGGGCAGAGGATGAAAGAGAATTTCCCACATTTGGATTGGAGAAAAATGTATTGAAACCAATATGCACACGGCTGTAACACACCAAATCTTGTTAAATCCAGCGCAAGCTCTGGAAAATCTCTTTTGTCATCTTTGATGCCACACCCCAGAGTGGATAGCGGATGTTATATCGTTTTGCAATTGAACACTGTATGTTTATGTGCTGTGGTTGGAGAACACATTTGATGAATTCCAATTTCATACATGCAGATGTCTCCAATAATTGGGGAGCGGTACAAATGCAAAGACTGTGTGGAGAAAACAGGTTTTGACCTATGTGAATCATGCTACAAAACTCCCGCCAAGATCCCGGGCCGATTTAATCAGCGGCATAAACCAGAACATGAGTTTGAAATTGTGCAGCCTATTAGCATGAATGAACTTTTATCAATAATGCACTCGGTGCAATCTGATGACGATGGCTCAGATGCTCGGGAACATATGGATGATGGTTCTCATACCCCTGCAATGTCAGCTGGTGTTCAACAGGATCAAGGCGATGGTTCTCAAGAGCCTGAAGATATTTCTCCTTCTTTAATTTCATCGGTTGATGTGTCTTTGGATCAAGAGGATGACTCTGATGATCCAAGTGATATTATTTCATCAGATTTGACTTAAAACTGAAGACAATTGTGCATTTCATAATCTATAATCGTAATAAATTCTTCATTTCTATCACTATATGAGCTAAAGCTGCAAGTTGTTTTGAGGAAAATACAGTTCCTTTGCCTTATAACTCTGTTTGCCATAGGCACCTTACTTCAAACATTGAATAATGTTACATACTAAAAGAATCTTATGTTTATTTTTTCTTTTCGCTCACCTTGGCCAAAAAGGACTTCAATTAAGAATTTAATGCTTTTTTTTTCTTTGAGTTAGGACTTGATTATTATTGTATTATTACTATGCGGTAGTTGTATTTTTTAAATAAAGAAATTATTTTTTGGAGTAGGACAGAAATTAACTCATTAAATTTTTATATTTAATATCATTTATAAATTTTCTTATAGGAAAAATTTTAAAAAGGATATAAGAACATTTTTATTTCTTAAAAAATAATAGAGAATATTATGGAAATTTTTATTTTGTTTTTTTTATTTATTACTATATTTTTTCAATATTTTCATCGCATTTTAGAGAAATTGTCTCTTATCCTAAGAAATTTTAAAAATTTTTCTTAAAAATCCCACTTTTCAAAAGATTTTTCTAAATAATTATTACTTTTATTAACATTCTATGGTGATATATATATTTATATTTTTTTTTATAAATCTTAAGGCATAAAAAAGATAAAAAATAAAAGGAGTTGAAAATTAAGAAATTAAAGGCTAAAAAACTCAAAAACTAAGAAATTAAAAGCTTAAAATCTAGATGACGGTCGGGTCATGATTCGGGTTTGAATGCGAATCTGCACGGGTCAAGATAAAATCTCATATGTTGCGGCGTTTGACTGCTCCTTAAATTGCAAAAATTTTCTTTCTTCCTCACTTTACCTATTTCCTCTCTCTCTAAACCATTTTCTTTAAAACCTTTCACTCTCTTGAAGAACAAAAGAACACAGCGCCAGATTCTTCAAAGAAATCCAGATTCCGATTAAAATTTTCAGATTTCGATGGCGTGCCACCGCAACCGCTACAGGCCACTGATCTTCAGTGACCAAAAAAGACCAAAGATACACTTCTTTCAACATATTCCAATCTCTTTTTCCTCTTTTCTGAATCGAAACCTTGTAAATCACTCTAACTAATCCTAGATCTAGTGCCAAATTCGAAGCTTCTCACTGCCAAAAAAACCCTCTAGCCACCATTTAAAAACCCCGAAACCTTACTCTCATTTTCCTATATCTAGAAAATCCCAGAAATCCCTAAAAAATACGAACCCGAAACAAAAATCCCCACTGTCGGAATAACTTTTCTGCAAACTCGTGATTTGTTTGTGTTTTCTTGCTGATTATTGTTCCTCTGGATTATTATGAATGTATCGCTGATTGCGTGTGAATCGGTTGTGAAACTTGTTTCCTGGGTGTATTTGAAATGAAATTGATCTTTCTTTTTTGGGTATATTTGATTTCTATAGTTTTTTTTTGTTGTATTTCAAAACAAAACATATTTTAGATTTAAAAGCAAAAGTAATCAGATGCGTATGTTTTTTTAAATCTAGTAGCTTGTAGGTGTTTTTTTAATTGCATTAGTTGATAATGGTAATTATGGAGAGTCAATTTAGCAAGACGATTTCTTAAGTTTTCAAAATTATTTTAATTATATTTACTGTATTTTTTATATTTTACTAACTATATTTTTTATTTTAACCAAGGGACAAAACAATCATTTTACCCATTAGACATGTGTCAGCAAAACATTCCTTAGGGCTAACTTAAACAAGGAAAAGAGTATGACATGATAATTATTGATTGATGTGGCATAGTAAATGAACAATAAAATTGCTTAGTTAGCATTAAATTAAAGCATGAGACAGTTTTTATATAATTAAGCTTTTTAGAGGCAAATGAGGCTTCTTTAATTCTAGTTTTATTATGGATGTTATTTTTAAGATTAATAAATAAACTGTTTTTGTTAATGAGTATCACTTTTAAAATTATCATAAAAAACAAAATCAACTATGGTTTATTTTGCGTTACTTGAAGTTAAATGTGTACTACTTCTCTTCAAATTCAAAATTTCTTTTATCAATGCATTTGGTTGATATAGGTTTCTTTTAAAAAAAAAAATGGTTAAGATAGTTATATACCACAAACATATAGATTATATATGAAGGTTATGATACATGCATTTGATAAGTTGAAATTTTGTGAAAACAATAAAATAAGTAATAACAATAAACTTGTCTTGTTGGTAGGATGAATGCATTGATAATTGAGCTCATCATTAGTGTATGAAATTCAACAATCTTAGCATCGATAAGTCTTTATATTATTCACATATTTCTCTTATCTAAAAAAAAATTAATTGAGAAATAAAGAAAGAAAAGGAAGAAGATGGCAAAGAGAACTATTTAATATCAATGTTCTAGGAATAATATAGGCCTTAAATAATTATGTAATCTCCATTTTTTTTAAAGCAAGTTTGTAGGTGGGTTATTATATAGATTTTAAATGAATTCATATAAAATTTAGATATTGAAAACTACAATGTAAAAAATAAATATATCAAAACATGAACATTAAATTGTTTTGTTTATCTTATTGACTTTGCTTTTGTTAAAATGCTTTCGTTGTACTAGATGCTGCTCCTTGTAAGTTACTTTACTCTTATACACAAGAAAGAAAAGTTTATTAGTTATTTTTAGTGTCAGGCATTTTATGATTCTAAGAGTATTATGATCTTTTTTTTTTTTTAAGGTTGGCTCATCAATAAAGTAGAAGTAATTTTGTTATTTTGACCCAAGTTGACATGTTAAGTCGATATGTTGTTTTAGGATCCATTTCAATTTAATCACTTCAAATTTTCACTTAAAGGTATATGAAAATGTTGATTTGTCACTTTTAATTGCACTGTTGATTGCCAAATCAACTATCAAATCAAGTTCGATTAGCAACGTGATCTTAAACCCTCTATTCAAAGCTTGAGTTATCAAGTCCCAATAATCTCATCGTACAGGTATAAATAGCTCCCTTAAAGCAAGTAGATTCATTCAATTTCATTCTTTCTCTTTTAAAGATTTTTCTCTTTCTCTATTTTCTCAAGCACTAATTTAAATGTTGAAACACAAACGTCAGAGAAACATCTAGCCCTTGCTTCTAACCAACCTCAAAACTTATGATTTTAGATTATTACTCTCGTTGGATAGCTCAACACCAATATTTTTGGCACGTCAAGTAGGAATCTTTTGTTTGTTTAGTCGAGTTAATCATGGCTCCTAAGAAAAGAGTTGCTGAAAAAAGAGATAATACAATTGTAGCTGGCATTGACACCCAGCTTAGCTAACAAAACCCTAATTAACCTGCACATATGACCTTATCAATGGAACAATTTAAAGCCTTTACCCAACAATTATAATCCTTTAGAAAAATCATACAAAACTTAATCTCGCCACAAACCTTAAAAGAACTAAATCCTATAGCCTCAAAAACCCACCAACAGAGAAAATGCCAACTTACAATAATAGTGTTGCCTTGTCAATTCCTAAAGATGATGAAAGTCTTAAAAGTTATTATCCTATGAAAACCTGAACACAAACTACCTAAATATTCAAACAAGTGACCTCAGAACCACAACCCAACAAAAATCTAGAAACTTGGATGAAGACAATGGATAAAGGGCTCTAAAACAAAGTCTCCACCTTTGATGACGACTCATGTTCCCAGAAACATCTTTTTTTACTAACGATATTGATTGAGCTTTGCCACTAAAGAGATTCAAAGTGCCAACTCTTGAAACTAATAACGATACCACTAATCCCTTTAATCACCCTGAGCTTTATAGAACTAACATATTGATACAAGAAGCTAACAAGCCCCTCATGTGCAAAGGACTTGCTATAACTCTCAAAGGGCCAACTCAGTCATGGTACATTAGCCTGAAATCAAGATCCATCTCTATTTTCAAACAGCTCAATCATTCTATTTTGACTTATTTCATCAGAAATTGATGAATGAAAAAGATTACACTAAATTTGATGTCTATGTATCAGGGATGACAAGAATCCTTAAAAGACTATGTCATAAGTTTTAATGCTTAAACTCTTCAGGTGAGAGACTTAGAACAAGCTACAATTATGGTCGCTTTAACAAGTGATAAAAAGTACAACTTTAAGCTCACTCTCCCATTAGATACTCCAAAGACTCTAGCCAATATGCTTTTGATTGTTGAAAAATACATTAATACAAAAGCTACAATGAAAAAAAAATGTGAAAGAGGAATATCCCTTCACCTAGACCAAAAAAGAGGAAAAGAAAACAACAATCCTTAAGATGAAGAAAAGCTACTAAGAGGAACCTTAGAGGGAGGAGCTCAAACAAAAAATACAACAATTATACTGCACTGAATATCTCAAGTGAGAAGGTTCTGATGCAAATAAAAAATAACCTAAAGCTCATATGGCCTAAGCCACTAAGATAGAAAGTAAAAAAGATCTAACCAAGAGATATGCTTTCTACAGAGATCATAACCATAATATAGAAGATTGCATAGATTGATTGCATAGATTGATAAATGAGATAGAGAATCTAATTAGAAAAAGTCAGTTGACCATATTTGTAGATCAAATGAGACAAAGACAAGGTAGAAAAAATTTCAAAGGAAAAGATAAGAGAGATCAACGAAGGAAAAACTAGGATGAGACAAGAAAAAGCATAAGCAAGGTAACACCGATCATAATCCCAATCAGAGGGTTGAAAAAAGAAATGATGTGGACAATAGATCCATTGTGAGAATCATTAATATGATAACTAACGGGACCTTAACATTAGCTAAAAAGAAATTTGACCAAGGAATAGTTATAGCCATTAAGTATATGGCCAAAAAGTAAAAAAAATTGAAAAGATGAGCCAATCTCTTTTAGCTTGAAAAATTTAAGAGAAATCCAATTCCTACATGATGACGCCATTATTATACAAGCTAAAGTTTTATAATCATGTTGTGAAAAGGATATTGTTTGATAATGAAAGCTTGACTAACATTTTCCACTATTTCACAATATTGAAAATAAGAACCACCGAAAAGATGTTAAAGCCTTTCACAACCACCTTTATCGATTTTGTGAACAAGCAAGTGTCAGTAAAGGGTATAATTAGGTCATTGATCATGCTAGGAACCTAGTTGAGGACTGTTACCTTGATCATTAAGTTTTTAGTGATGAATATCCTTTTAGCATATAATATGATTTTAAGACGTTCAAGCTAGTCTACTATGAGAATTGTTGGCTCAACTCCTCACCTTAAAATCAAATTTTTTATC